CTCTACAACCTCAAGAACCAATACCATTAAGAAGATCCACTAAAGATAGGAGAAGTGCGATTTCGGATGATTACATCGTATTTCTTCGAGAACATGAAGTTGACATTGGAATGATGGAAGATGATCCTATCAACTTCCGTCAAGTCACGAAAAGTTCTAACTTTCAAAAGTGGCTCGATGCCATGAATGAAGAGATAAAGTCCATAATGGAGATTAATGTATGGGACCTCGTTCCACTGCCTAAAGGTGCGAAATCCATTGGTTGCAAATGGATATTTAAGACCAAGAGGGATTCAAAGATTGATGTAGAGAGGTATAAGGCTCGTCTTGTCGCAAAGGGCTTTACACAGAAAGAAGGCATCAATTATAAAGAGACTTTCTCTTCGGTTTCTTCAAAAGACTCTTTTCGGACTATAATGACATTGGTAACGCATTTCGATCTTGAGTTACATCAGATGGATGTTAAGACAACGTTTCTCAATGGTGATATTGATGAAACAATTTATATGGTAGAACCAGAAAACTTTGTATTGAAGGATACAAAGCAAATGGTTTGTAAATTAAAGAAATTCATCTATTGACTCAAACAGGTGTCTCGTCAATGGTATTACGAGTTTCATCAAGTGATTATCTCATTTGATTTTGAGATGAATTTGGTCGATGATTGTTTATACCACAAGTTCAGTGGAAGCAAGTATATTTTTCTGGTTTTATATGTCGATGACATATTGCTTTCCAGCAACGATATAAGCTTATTATATGAAACCAAGAGTTTTGTAATAAAGAATTTTGAGATGAAAGATCTTGATGAAGCCTCTTTTGTATTAGAAATTCATATACACAGATATCGTTCTCGGGGTATTTTTGGATGATCACAAAAGAGTTATATCGAAAAGATACTTAAAAGATATTGCGTGTAAGATTGTAAACCAGGTGACACCCTTGTGGCTAAAGAAGACAAGTTCAATTTAAGTCAATGACCTAAAAATAACTTGAAAATTAAAGAAATGTAGAAGGTTCCTTATTCCTCAGCTATGGGGAGTCTGATGTATGCTCAAATTTGTACACGTCCGAATATAGCATACATTGTTAGGATGCTATGGAGATATTTAATTAACTCGGGAATGGATCATTAGAAAGTATTCAAACAGGTCATACGATATTTACAGAGAACAAAAGACTATATGCTCACATACAAGAGATCTGATCAGTTGGAGATCATCAGTTATTCTGATTCCGATTTCGCGGGATGCCAAGATAGTAGAAGATCCACTGCTATGAGGCATCAAACCGTGGAATATGGCTATAAAATTTTGTCACTCGACTGCGTATTGTGGACAATATAGAAAGACCGTCCAAGATATTTTGTGACAATAAATCAACATTGCTGTATTCCAATAACAATAGGAGCTCGACGAAGTTGAAACATATAGAGATCAAGTTCTTGGCTATTAAAGAAATAGTTTAGAGTGGACAGGTGTCAATAGAGCACATGGGACAAGCTCTATGATTGCGGATCCGCTCACTAAGGAATTGATACCCAAGGTCTTTTATGAGCATATTGCTCATATAGGTGTAATGTCTCTTGAGGATATTTTGTTTCAGTAGGAGTTTGCATTTTTGTGCTAGACACATATACTGTCATTTTGGATACGGTTTGAGGTTAAAGTTATTTTCGGTTATAAGGTTTATTTGGTTTATTATCTCTGAATTTGTTTAAAATGATATCACTAAGGTATTAAGGTGGACCAGTTGGAAGTAGGCATGTTAGAGGTCACATCACATGTAATTTTCATGCTATACATCCATGTTTAATCCATGTCATTCAATTATATTGATATACGTGACCGTTGATGAGTTTAGTTACGATGAAAGTAACGAAAATCGCTTTAATCCTATGTTGATATGATTGATGGTCCAAATTGTTTGCGGATGCATTCAATAATGATAACAAAATTCTGAGTACTCATAAGGTTATATTTAATGCATAATTATAAGGTGACATATATAGTCCAAGTGGGAGATTGTAAGGAATTTTAAATGATCGTGTGGACTTATATGTGTAAATTATCGTGTATTAAATTAAAGGCTATCGAATTCGATTGAGCCCTGTAACGACCTGAGTTCCTGTACCCAAGCCGTTAGCTTACGTACTATCTGCTTTGCTTGCTCAATTGGTACCAGGATTCAACTTAAATCTTACTTAAGGGAAATGTTATGAGTTTCAATCTTGAGGAACGGGACAAAAAGCCATGAGGGGTTAGTGGGCGCAAGGCCCACCCAAAGCGTACAGTACGTAAGCTAATAGCTTGGGTGCTGAGACTCAGGTCGTTACAAACCCATTTAAAATGATTTAATAAGGATTCGATTTTGGGCTATAACGTATCCAAGTGTGGGTTATATATATGTAGAGACCGGGCCCAGATTCCTAATTCTATGATGGGCCGAATTAGGTCAAAGGGCATCAGTTTATATAAATGGTTATGGTCTTCGAATCACACGTAGAAAGAGTACGTATCGTTCATTCTTTTCTGCATCCTATCACAGAGAGAAAATAAGATTGCGTGTAGATTTGGAAGGCTAAACCGCGAAATTCAACAATTGCATTAATCATGTCTGATTCAAGTACGCTTTCGCTATCATGTATTTTTTGATGATCCAACATGAAGATCCAATGATTTTAAAGTAATAAATTATCCTGCAACATATTGTACGTAGCCCCTTTCTCCAAATACCAAATTGAACTAAATTATTTGTGCAATGTAATAATTTATTAGGGTGTTTTTGTGATTCACATTATTTTGGACATTTATGCAAAATCTAAAGCAGCTTCCTCACACGAAAGAGCCTGTATGAACTTGCTTGAATTGAACAATTTGTGCCCAAGCCCAAATTGACCCAACCAAAATGATGGGACGGTCTCATTTTTTAAAACTGAGCTTGATTGATTTGGATTGGAATTTACCCAAATCAACTAAGTCTAATCTGATTTTAGGTTGGGTCCAAAATTGAAGGTTGTTGGGATTCTATTCTTCTTTTGTGTTATTTTTTAATATTTTTGGCAATCTACATAGTTAAGTATGATCTTTCGTTTCGTTCCTCGTGAAATTTATTGTTATGGATTTAATTAAACAATAGATGGCATGTCCCAATGCAAGAAATATTGATAAATAGAAACTAAAGTCAAATTGAAATTTTTATGTTGTGACTTTAGTAGGGAGCACATTATAGTTAAAGTATTCAGCTTTCCTAATGGTAAAGGCGCTTCAATTTCATGTTTTGGTTTGCTCGGTTATCCAAAAGCTAGGTTGCTGATCGTCAAAAAAATCTACCCATTTCGACAATCATTGAGCTATTTTTGGCAAAAGGGTCTAGGTTACTTAAATAGACCAATAAATCAACTAGTTCACCAAATTCAGGTCAACATGGGTCGTATCGACAAGTTCAATCCTATTTTTATAATTATCATTCATATTAGAATGTCCAGATTCCAACCTTCAACAGATCAGTTTAACGTCCATCAGATTCTTCAATCCAAATTCCAGATTCAATGGATCGGATTCATTCCCCACAGATTCATCCAGTTGTATACAACTATCAAGTAGTTAATTAGTTGGTAGTTAGTTAGGTTAATTAGTTGGTTAGTTCTTTTATCAATGAATACAGTACGGTGTATTCATTGTAAATTATTGGACTGTTATCTTCCAATCCCTCCTTTTATGGAATGTCATTTCCTCCTATTATGGAGTGCTTTCTTTCAAGGAACTTATTCCGGTTCCAGTATTGTTTTTCTGCTTTCCTGCAATTATCATAGCAGGCTTTTATACATTGTTCTAATACAAGAATTTTAATACACTCTATTTCAAAATGAAATACTTTATTCTCATTTATTACAAATATAAACCTGTCGCATATGAAATTTATGGGCGTCAAATATTCAAGTTGACAAAAATGGGAACAACATAGGCCCAAGTACCCAATGCGTCCTCAAGTCATAGTTACTGGCCTCCATTTATATGCAACGCGCAAACGAAACGTGTAAACAAAGAAAGAACAATATTTGGAAGTAGATTTTATCTATTACGTTTATTGTAAATCTTCAATTTTCAAGACTTCCCTTTCTCAATTAAATCAAATTAAAATCCAAATTTGAAGTGCTCATTTTTGTTTCAGCTTTATTTAGACTATTTGATTTGTGGGTTTATTTTTAAATAAATAGGGCCATTACTCGGCAACATAAATTATTATGTTTGGGAATATATCTCAGGTTGGCATGCCATGATTTTTTCTACGCGAGCTTAATTACATACTTCTAAGTAGCTTACTAAGTTCATCTTTTCACAACTTCGTATTATGTACATTTTGTGAAAGACTTACTTACTCTGGAGGAAAATAAACACATGATGTAACATTTCAAAAACAAATCGTAACTCTCGATGATTTTTTAATTTAATCTTCCATTTATGATACGCACGTTCACAATCTTTTAATATTATGCACGCATTATCTCCACCCAACAGAAAACACTCATTTAGACTCTAAATAGTGACACGTCATTTACTTGATATGGAGCAGACACAACAATCACAATAGTCATGTAGCTTGTGACAGAAAATCCCATTGTTAAGGTTATGATTCAGATGTCCGATAAGTTGGAAAGTTTGGTGAGTTAAAATGATCCAAATGGACAATTTAACCTTTGCAATTAGATATCCAATCCGTATCGCATGGTCTCCTCCTTACTTTATTTACATTTATATTATAAGGAACATAATTATTGCTTTACTCAAAAAAAAGGTAACAAGCACAATTTTATACGACACTTTAGTAGCTTAATTTACGTAGTGGAGTTGGTGGAACCTTGACGTGTAAAGCGAATCAATGTTGACTTTCGGACCCAAAAGCAAGCAAGGAATTTCAGATTTTTCTTTTTCCAGTTTTCTTATATGCCAAAGTTTAATTTACTGCTCAAGAAATTAACAAAAGAAGAAGATACAACAGACGGTTAAACATTTAAACTACTCAAGATGATGAAACTAAAATTAAAATAAAAATGCTTGCAATTATCTTATAATGCATCAGTACATTCATCAGTGCAGACAGAAAATATTAATTTGTTCAAGGATCAGCTAATGAAAATGATGGAGGGGTCGCAGCAACACTCATCAATTAGGAAACAGCAACATAAAGCAGCGAGACTGTCATAAAATCCAAATCAAAATTGAGGTAAAATTCTTCATTAATGAAACAAGAAAAGAAAAATTAACACCGAGAGAGAGAGACAGTACCATCCCTCGAGGAAACTGGGTTCTCTCCGGGGTGGAGGAGCAGGGGCATAATATTGTGGAGGTGCCATTACTGGAGGTGGAGGACCTTGGTAATAACCTGTGTTGTAATTAAATCATTCATCAAAATGAAGTGCGAGTGAGTGTATATAGATTGTGTACGTTATGTATAACAAGGAGTACCTTGAGCGGGATAGGGATACGCATATTTTGGTGGCTCAGTCATGTCTGGTGCTTCAAAAGTGTGGGGGAAGGGGACGCAGTTTTTGTATGAATACTTTGTTCTGAAAGGGGAGAGGAATAAATGGAAGTAATATGAATGTATATCTAAGTAGAAAAAATAGGGTTTGGAGGAGGCAATATGCTGTAATATAGGAAGACACCTAGTGCATGCGTGTCACGCACAAAAGATTTCTTTGAATATTTTAAGAGTATTTTATTTTTCTGTTTTTGGTACTAAGAAAAATTCTTTTCTTCGGTTAATGAAAGTTCACAATTCTTTTTTTCGACATTGATAAATGGGAAACTTGAAAGGCCATCCATGACCATCCGTTATTTGTGAGATACGAGAAATTTGCAATAGAGGTCCCTAATTTATTGATTTATGTAAACGAGTCTCAATTTTTAGTTTATGACATTTAGCTCCTAACATCTATGCTTTGCCTTTGTAACGGCTTGGTCTACGGCGAATGGTTTTGATTCAATTCTTGATTTGGAAAGTTTATTTTCTCTCTCTCTCTCTCTCTCTCTTTTAGATGAATGTGTTAAAAAAGTAAAGAAAAGTTATGAAGAAAGGAAAAATGACTTTTTTTTTTTGGGAAAAATATAATGTTTTAGTTAAAAATGAGTGTGTAGGAGAAGTAATTCTCAAATAATTAAAAATCAAACAAAGCCTAAATATATAGTGAAAACTTTTTATATAAATCCAACACTCTAAATTAAAGAAGCTATTGGCGATGCCTTTTGTGTCATCAACAAGTATTTAAATTCAATGGTTGATATTTGATGTTTTGGAATGAATATATGATAATTAATATTGTTCTTCAAGTCTTCAAATATTTCTCATTTTTAACTCTGTTTAATTATGTTGAATTAAAAGTATGAAAATAATTTTAGGTTACATTTAAATATAGTAATTCATGCTTCAAAGTGTTTTATCTATATTTGTTAGTGGATCTTGCTTCATGTATATTAAATTTTACATAATAGGTTACATAATGCCACATGTCATTATAGCATTTGTCAATTTAAAATACAGTCAACTTTTTCATCTAATCTTTTCCCTCTACATTATGTAATCCTTTATGTATTATTTTTATGTACAAGTACCTTAATCCTTTGTTAATTGTTTCTGTTTTCTAATCAACCATGTGAAGATTGTTTTTTTATCCAATAGGATGTAAATAGATTGTGGTTGATTTTTTTCCTTTTTTTTTTTTGCTTTCTAATTTTTGCTCGAATAACCTTTTATTGGTATTAAATATTCAATTCAATATATCTGAATCCGCTGCAGATACACACCATTAATCAAGGATAAGTATCGTCTCAAATAAAATTAGCTACAACCAATTTGAGTAGAGGTATATTGTGATTTAAATTGCATCCAATATGTTATGTGTTTGTACACTTGGGCAACCCACCGGGGCCCACAGCTAACTCATGCCGAACCACGTGCATGAACCACGTGGCACTGAAGCCAAGGTGATTCCACAACCGAGGCCCGTAAACCAAGGTCCATAGAAGCCAAGGCCCATGTATACCGAGGCCCATCTATCATTGCCTCGTGAGGAGATTCCGAAACTCATATGCCAAGGCCTTTTGAAAGTGGACAAGGCCCTGTTGGCCGAAGCTCTGTAGCCGAGGTAGCAGCTTTCAAATCACAAAGCAACATCTTCCATAGACGTTTCTTCCGAGAGATCCTCTGCACAAAGATCTCACTTGAATGATTGATATGATGCTTGTCATGAGTGTAATGTTAAGTCTTGTCACTGGTAGAAGCGACTCTGCCAATCAATAAATGTATAGCAGGTTAGGTGCGCCTGATACCTACAATTTGACATGTAAATTAACCGGATGATGCCATGTGTACCCCGAACTAAAGGTCATGATCTAACTTGTAACACTATAAATACTTCCCCATATACCCCATACAAAAACTAATGCAAGAATTAATACAAGGAACAACACTTTACTCAATTCTCTCTTATTATCTTACAACACAAACGAGTTCATACAAATTTGGATACACTTTTACAAATATCGATTGGTAATTATTGTACAGTCGATTAACGAACATCCCACCGGATTTCGAACGTTCTCGTCCCACGTCGTTGACCTACTCCCACGCCCTCAATCCGTCCATTAAAGACCGTCCACATGTCTAAGCATGTTGGACATTTGCTCACGTGTACGCGGGTGGGTCCGACATCTGTTGGCAACATTTTTTGGGGTCAACAGATTGGCGCTATCTGTGGGAATCCATACAATAACCATGAACAACCTTGTGGTGAAAGCTTATTGAAGAGGAACGTTTAGGCATCCCCCTTGAAAAATGATTTGTTCTTGAAAAAGAACAAGAGGAAGCCCCACAACTTAGTAAAAATCTGAAGGTCAAACAAAGAAAATGAGTTCAAACGAAAACACACCCCCCAGGAGGGTAAGGAAAAATATAGGTGTGAACCCTCCAGCAGCTCGGCACCGACTCCACCGCCATAGACGAGGTGGAATGTGACTGACAGCCCGGTTATCAAGAGAAATGGTCGCCACGACAGCCAACATGAGGGACATTGCTAGCCAGAACATGGTTATGAGGGAACTCATGGCCCAAATGCAAGGCCAGATAGGCTTCCCTATTCCTCCATACGCCCCCTAGGGGCACTACCAACAAGAAGATGAAGTTCAAAGTCAGAGAGTTGTCTCGTCGGACTATAGCCGAGGTAGAAGTCCATTTGAAAGGGAAGTGGAAGTTGATGTTTCTTCCAACTACGCTTCTGGGTGACCCACCGAGGTCCCTTTAAATCATGATAACTTCCCACCTCCATATGAGCAAGAGCGAAGACATAAGAGGTCAGGTAGTGTATTTGACAGAATCAGCCCTACAGAACTGAGACCCAGGCAACAACAGCCTCGTGAGACTTGGACAAGGTCATAGCCCCACCTCCAATGCCTCAACAGCCGAAAGAAAGGCATGACAATATCCCCCCTATTGCACCGCCTAGAAATAGGCGCCAAAGGAGGAAAGAGGAGGCTAGGAACCGTCCCGGAACCTCTCACCAACCACCAAGGTATGAGGCCGAAGAAAACGATTCAGATAAGCAGCAGAAGTCCTATGACTTGGACGATGATGATGAGAACCTGCCATTCTCGAGGGAACTAAGGAGTGCCCAGGTCCAGAACTACCACGTCACGCCCAAGATACCAAAGTATGACAGAAGAAGCGACCCTGAGAAGCACCTGAACGCTTACAAAACTCACATCAGCCTAAGGGGAGCCACCCTAGCTGTGAAATGAAGAGCTTTCCACTTAACACTTAGCGGAGCAGCTAAAATTTGGTATAGTAGGTTACCACCTGGAAGCATAAGAAGTTGGTCTGAATTTAAGACCACCTTCTTGAAGAGGTTCGCTATAAGTAAAGAGGGAGAGGCTCCCATCCAATACCTCCAAGACATGAGATAGGCACATGGGGAGTCCCTGAAAAGCTTCCTATCATGCTTCACTGATGAGATGACGTACTGCGTGCAAGTTATCTGCACTGAGAGGAGGCCTAAACATGGACACCCTGTTTTGGAGGGACGTGTAAAATCAAGATCCCACCACCTATGACGCCCTACTCGAGATGATGAGACTGGAGATCATCAATGAAGAATTGATTGAGCATAAGAACATGACAAGTAGAGGCCTCCCACCTTCGCAAAGACAGCGTGCTAGAGGGCCGACCTCCCACTTGATGGATTACCAAATGAACCAAGTCGGTAATGAGAGTTTTGGGCAAGCACTCGCCACCACCACTCTGAATGCGGTTCCAACCTTAGCATATGAGGATATCAACCCAGTCACTAACAGCAAATGGGAACTTCGCAAAGATCCCGTAGGGGGAGAGGCCAAGGCCGGGGTTTGGGACCTAGAAATAGGTCAAATCCCAAACCCCCCGGATACTGCATATACCACTGATCCTATGGCCATGACACAGCAAATTGTCGACACTATGCTCACCGTACCCGGCAAGAACCCCCCAGGGATAGAAATGAATCGCCCCAGGCGAACAGGCCCCACCTAGGTATGACAATCGACATGGGCGTGAAGAGGCCGCTCCCCGTCAAAAGATGTTTCCCCGCGACGAAGGTAACAAGATGCAGAGAGGCCCAGGGAAGGGCAGAAACACCGAAAAAATCGGTAAACTCAGGATGAGGCCCTTATCCACGAGGTAGATACCATATTTGGAGGCCCATATATGGATGGTGAAACGCGAAATGCTACAAGAAACTACGCCCGTGAGGCTAAGTGCCCCCTCTTACCAGCTATATTGTGGACCACAACTCCCAGAAGAATCAAGTTCCATCCATTATCTTCACCCAGGAGAATGCTGAAGGGATTCATTACCCCCACTGCGATGCACTAGTGGTGAGAGCGGTCATAGCTCGGAATGGGCTCAAACGAATGCTAGTTGACAACGGCAGCTCTGTCAACATTCTATTCGGGTCCACCTTCGACAAGATGATACTGGACCACGAGTTCACACCTACCACCACTCCCTTGTATGAATTTACTGGAGATAGCATCACTCCGAGAGGAAAGATCACCCTTGCAGTGGAGATGGGAGAGTCTCCCCAAACCACAATGAACTTCATGGAGTTTCTCATCGTTGACCGTTGATCAGCCTACCACGGAGTATTGGGTAGTCCAGCTTTAAAGGAATTTGGAGCCGTCACATCCATTCACCGCCTATGCATGAAATTACCGACGAAAAATGAGGTTGCAACGGTGAGAGGCGACCAAAGAGGCTCGAGAGAATGTTATCTAAGCTCCATCAGAAAGGTAAAGCCCTGGGACGTCCATGTGATTATCACTGACATAGTCATGGGTGATGTCCCAGGTGATGCTCCCTCCGAATCGGAAGATGTGGAAATGATCGACGTACCACCTATTTCGAAAATATTGGTCATCGATGAGATTGATCCCCACATAATTGAACATGAACCTCAAGCATCCCCGATTGAGGAACTTGAAAGCTTCTCGGTGGACCCCCGAGACCCATCCAAATTGTTGAAAGTGGGAAAGGGCTTGTCCAACAGTTTGAAAGAAAAGATTAAGGATTTCCTAAGTAGGAATATTGATATCTTTGCTTGGAGGCATGAGGACATAGTAGGCATAGATCCCAAGATCAGTTGCCACCACTTGAAAATTGATCCTAAGGTTGCCCCGTACAGACAAAAGAGAAAGAGCCCTCACCCCTGATAGGTATGAGACCCTGAAGGAAAAAGTTCAAAGGCCACCTATCCGAGGTGGGTCTCCAACCCGATTTTAGTGAAGACACACAACGAAAAATGGAGGGTATGCATTGATTTCACTAACCTCAACAAACTTGCCCAATGGACAGCTTTCCACTCCTAAGGATTGACCAACTAGTAGATTCCACGGCTAGGCATGAGTTATTGAACTTCATGGACGCATACTCCGACCACAACCAAATTCCCATGCACCCGGTCGATGAAGAACACACCTCTTTTATCACAGACGGAGGCCTTTACTGCTATAAGATGATGCCCTTCGAGTTGAAAAATGTCGGGGCCACATATCAAATGCTCGACAAAAAAGAGTTTGTGGACCTCATCGGCAAGACAATGGAGGTCTACGTAGACTACATGCTTGTGAAAAGTTTAGAAGCTGGGGATCACGTAACGCACCTCAACAACACCTTCCAAATCTTGAGAAGGTATAGGATGAGGCTCAATCCCCTAAAGTGCACTTTCGGGGTTGCCTTCAAAAAATTCTTAGGGTACATGGTCAACCAACACCGAATTAAAGCCAACCCTGAGAAGATTTAGGCCCTATGCAAATGAGATCCCCCCAAAAGCTAAAGGAGGTACAAAGCTTGACTAGGCGAGTGGCCACACTTAGTATCTTCGTCTCCAAAGTTACAAACAAATGCCTCCCATTTTTCAAAGTGTTGAAAGCTGGGAAGAAATTCCAATGGACCAAGAAATGTGAAGAGGCATTCCAGGGCCTAAAAAGGTACCTAGGGCAGGCCTCCCTCCTCTCCAAACCGAAGCTCGGTGAGATTCTTCAGATGTATTTGGTCGTCTCCAATGAGGCTATCAGTGCGGTTCTAATCCGAGAAGAAGGAACCACCCAACTCTCCGTATACTATACAAGTAAAGTACTCCTGTCATCGAAAAGCCGTTACCCCGATATGGAAAAGCTCGCTTTGGCCTTAATCACGGCTTCCAGGAAATTGAAGCCCTATTTCCAAGCCCACGCCATACATGTGCTAACAAACTTTCCCCTAAGGCAGGTACTTCAAAAGCCCAATGCCTCAGGAAGATTATTAAAATGGGAAGTGGAGTTAAGTAAATTTTGACCTCGTGTTCAAGGCTAGGGCGGCCATCAAGGGCCAAGCCTTAGCTGATTTTGTGGTAGAATTTGCAAATTTACCTGAGGTGGATGAAATCATGAAAAATGTCAAGCCCTCTACGTGGAACTTATTTGTGGATGGGTCAGCTGGGGACACCAGCTCAGGTGCCAGAGTTGTCCTCATCAGCCCGAAAGGTCACAAGCTAAACTCAGCTGTGAGGTTCGGGTTCAAGGCCACCAGCCTACTTGAAAATGGTAATGAATCCCATCCCATCCTTTGAAAAGTTTGAGTTGATCCAGATCCCCCATGTTGAAAATGCACATGCGATCGCACTCTCCAAACTTACAAGTAGCAAGGACTCCGAACTACTCACAGTAATCCCAATAGAGCACCTCCTCATACCATCAACCGAGGCCCCCAATGTGATGTGGGTGGCCGGGACTCCTACCTGGATACAGCCCATCGTAACCTACCTAAAAGACCATGTACTTCCCACTAATAAGCATGAAACTTACAAGCTAAGGAGGAGGTCAACTCATTTCCTCTTCATTAATGATGTATTCTACAAGAGGAGCTTCTCCTCTCCACTCCTTCGATGCTTGGGAGGAGAAGAGGCTACCTACATCTTAAGGGAAGTCCACGAGGGAGTTTACGACAACTACTCTGGAGGCCTATCTTTGGCGCAAAAAATACTGAGACATGGGTACTATTGGCCTACCTTGAAAAAGGACGCCCTCCAGTTTGTACGAGAATGTGACAAATGCCAATGATTCTCTCCTATCCAAAGACAACCATCGCAAGATTTGATCAGGGTCTCCAGCCCCTGGCCTTTCTTGAAATGGGGTGTGGACCTCATAGGTCCTCTATCGAAAGGCAGAGGAGGCGCGAGTTTTGCAATTGTGGCCATTGATTACTTCACGAAGTGGGTTGAGGCTGAGCCACTGGCAAAAATCATAGAGGCAAACACTTCCAAGTTCTTGTGGAAAAACATTATATGCCGGTTTGGGATTCCCTACACAATCATCTCAGACAATGGTAAACAGTTTGAAAACAAGAAGGTTAGAAGTTTGTGTGAAGAACTTGGCATCAAGAAGTACTTCTCCACATCTCACCACCCACAAGCAAATAGCCAAGTTGAGGTTGTGAACAAGACCATCAAACATGTCCTGAAAAAGAAGCTTGATATGTCAAAAGGGCCCTGGGTGGATGAGTTACCACAAGTGCTTTGGGCAATCCGAACCACTACGAGGACCCCCACAAGGGAAACACCTTTCCTCATGGCATATGGAACTGAAGCAATGAGCCCCGTCGAGGTTGGACTTCTATCTCCACGATGTCTGCATTTCAATGAAATAACAAATGACGAGCTCCGGAGGTTCGACCTCAACTTCATTGAGGAAATAAGAGATGACACCCAGTTGAAGCTCGCCACATATCAAAGAAAGATGACGAAGCACTTCAACTCAAAGGTGAATATTGGTTCCGAATTGGGAAGGCTCGTTAGAATCAAGAAGGAAATCCGACCCGGGACATACTAGATTGAAGACATGGACGACAAGGCACAACCCCATCCATGGAACATTGAATACCTTCGAATCTATTATCAATGAATGTACTACCTCGCTGGATGATCTTTCCTAGCTCATGTAACATTTCCATGATTCAATAAAATTGTCCATGATTGAACACAAGTCTAGCACTACGTCGTCATCTTGAAGGAGAGGTCAGCGTCTCGTCTTTGAGCCACCTAGCTTCCACTCTAAGGCTCACGCAACTTACCTCCCTTTGGTGAGGCTGAACGCCACTGGGAGACACCTCAACATGGATGAACCATCCACCATGTTGGGAAGCGTCGTCACCCCGGAGGAGAGGTCAGCGTCCCATCTCTTGGCCACCTTGCTTGAACTACGAGACGCACGCCACTTGCCTCCCTTTGGCAAGGTTGAAAGCCAAGGGGAGAAGCCTCAATGATGATCGAACTTCTTTACCCAGATTTACAAAGCCCAGCCACTGCGGGCTTCACGTAACTCGATCAGACATAGCAATGTTCTCAATTCAGCTGGAAGATGGTCCAGTATTAAGATCTATTCAGGTCACAGTTATTAAGCTTAAGTATAATTTACTTGCTTAAGTCCAATATTAGTCATGGTTCGTGTGGCTTGAGTACAATTTACTTAAGTGATTGGAGTTGGGATATCAAGTCAAGGTTATTTAATTCGTCAATCAATCTTAAGTGTGATTACTTAATGAGGCCAATGCACTTAGAAGAACAACATTGAATGAAAAAGATTATATTGATTTTCAATGTTACAAAAGGAGGGCCTGAGGCCAGTACATCGAAATTAATTGAAAAGTAAACTATCCTAAGCCTCGGATGATGGCGGAGGTGCCTCGTCAGCAAAAGTCTCCGCAGCTTGAGCATCAAAACTCTCTTCTGCCTCCGCTACCTCATCCACAACCTCTTCATCAGCTGGGGTCTGAGGCACTTCATCCACAAACTCCGACCTCAGCTGTGACAGGTCTTGATCTTGGAAGAGTTTCTCAGCCCTTTCCATCATTTCATCATAGGCATAAATTCCTCCAGCAGACGCTGAAGCTCTTGTACTCCTCAGTATTGTGGAAGTTGGCAATGTAATCTTTGACTGCCTCCTCCCTCGCCACGTTGGCCTCCTCCTTTACCTTGGTCATTTCATCCACATACCATTTTATTTGGCCCTCCAAGAATTTATATACATCTTGGGCCTAGCCAACTGCAGATTGGCCTTCTCCAAGGCCTCAGCAGTCACCTTTTAGTAGTCATTAGAGACCTCCACTTTCTTGGTATGGGAAGCCACCTGGCACTGGGACTTATAAACCTCCTTCTTCAAGGCCTCGCTCTGGGCCAAAGCAGACTCCAGCTTGGCTGCATCTTCTAATTTTTGGGCCCTTGCTTCCTATGCCTCGGCCCTGGCCTTCTTCAGCTCAGTAAGGGCCTCCCTGCACTCCAATGCAAGGCCAAATGTCCTCACACTTTGGCTCACAAGAGCCCTTGTCAGGTCCACCATGTTGCAGGAAGAGGCGTGCAACTGCCACTGGTCCATCCAGAATTTATAGAAGTTCCCGTAGCACTTTGGATCTCGGCTGGCAAAGCCCCCACCAACGCTGGGGCTAGGACCTCCTCCCTCCCAGTAAGGAAGTTCGGCGATTTCCCTTGGACTCTTGCAGGCCTCTACTTGGTAGCTTCGTCCTCTGCGTTCTCAGGAGCCCTCCTCGCAGCAGCCTCCTTAGCCTGGGCACGCCGCACCATTTCTATCTTCACAGCTTTTGAGGTGGCCTCCAGGAGCTTTGGCTGAGGGGTTTCTTTTCCTTCGTGGAACACAGAGATCCCGAAATTCCCAGATGAGCTGGTGACGTGCACCAGCTTCTTCTTTTTCTGCTCCTTGGGGACCTTCTCCTTTCTTCGAGGCTCCTTGGCTTTCTCCGGCCTCTGAGGGCCCCCCCTCAGCGGCCTTGGAACTGCTTTCTTTGGAGAGTTGCTCAACCTCTCCCAAACCTCCTTTGCACCACTTGACCCCGATTTCAGGGGCCTCGCTGACACATTGGATGTGGCCCTGAGGATAGAAGCCATGTCCAGGGCTGGGTACTCCCTCCTCTTGAACTTGTATGCAAAGCAGGTCAGTACATCAGCATCGAAACAAAAAGTAAGAAATGCACAAGTATACAAGCCTCTTACCTTTGGAGGCCATCAATTCAAAGTCAATGAAGTAGCGGCTTTGGTCGATGAGGTGGTCGAAGTGCCAAAGTTTTGGAGGTCTATTGTAAATGTCCTCTATCACTTCAAACTCCTCCTTGCTCAGCTCGAACCTCGTACTACTATCTACACGGCAAGCCTCAACAGTTAAAAAAATAAAATTTGGAATACAGAACGTAAACTACTTAGGCTGGGAGAGACTCACGAGCTTCGTAGTACTAGGTCAGTACTGTGCAAGCCAAGGCTGTGTCCCCCTCCACTGCCTGCCACCTGCCCGTCACCCAGAACCACGATTCCTTCCACCCCTTGATGGAAGAGGGTAGCCCCACCACAAATGGTGTGGAGCCTCCCAAGGAGTTAAGTAATACCACCCCCTTGACTCTTTACCTATCACCCTAGGCTGGAACAGGGTCATGAAGATGTGGAGAGGCATGTCCTCTCCAAGTGACCCTTCCTTCCACAGGAAGTACGAACCAACCAACTGGCTCTACCCATTTGGCAGAACCTGGGTCGGTGACAACATAAAATTCCTCAGCACTGCTCTAAAGAAGGGGTGCAGAGGAAGAAGCATACCTGCCTTAAACATGTATTCACTCACCGCCACGCACCCGGGTCTCGGATAGCAGGCCCGCTCATGGGTCTCGGGTACCAACATTTTCACATAATGAGGTACACAGTACCTCTCCCTGATTTCCACCAGCCTCTTCAAAGTCATATTTGAAAGCACTCTAGACGCTCTCCACTCCTCACTGTAATCTACTGGCTCCTCAATCATAGCATATTGCTCGACCTCGGGGTCCCCTCTGTGACTTGCCCCCTCATCGAATGACGTAATAGTTACTAATTCCCTACCCGAAGTGGACTCCATATCAGAATGAACTCAATGTAAGGGATTTTCTGGGAAAATGCCAATGGAAAATGACTACGCGAACGGAGTAACGCTGGAAAATGAGAAGATCGACTGTTTGGATGTCGGAAAACATGAGTTTTTAGGAAAAAATCAGATTGCAAAGAATGAAAATCCAGAAAAAATGGGGGTCTCTCGCCTTTTATAAAGGGTCAGAACGAACCCCAGCCGTCTGATCAAAGCCCATTGAATCTGAACCCTTCATTCTAAACCAAATTCGAGGCGTAGAATTCAAATGATTTTTCAAACCTACGCTTTAGATTCAAGCGTGTCCTCCACGCATCTCCCCAAACGCGTCTGCTTCTAGAAGCTCAGCTGTGCTCATAATTACGACTTTCATTCGACGGTAGCAGACGCCTTGGAAGTTGAACGGTCCAGCCACCTTTCATCAAAAATATGTGTAAAAACATCAAATCATTGGTACAACTGTCGAGGAACAATCATTACTAATGAGCATCAGAATTCAACCTCCATAAGTCTCGTAGGTTCGGTTCTCAACCACCTCGGCTTCCTCATCATAATTCAATCTCCATAAGCCTCGCAGGTTCGATTCTCAACCACCTCGACTTCCTCATCAGATTTCACCCTCCATAAGCTCACAGGTTCGGTTCTCAACCACCTCGACTTTCTCATCAGAATTCAGCCTCCACAAGCCTTGCAAGTTCGGTTCTCAACCACCTCAGCTTCCTCATTAGAATTTAGCCTCCACAAGCTCGCAGGTTCGGTTCTCAACCACCTTGGCTTCCTCATCAGAATTCAGCCTCCACAAGCCTCACAGGTTCGATTCTCAACCACTCGGCTTCCTCATCAGAATTCAGCCTCCACAAGCCTCGTAGGTTCGGTTCTCAAACCACCTCGACTTCATCATTCTTCCACAATGCACATTTCTAACTCCAACCATGATATAAATATCTATACTTAGACTTGGAAACTATTATTTGGGGTACAAAAATTAAAAAAAAAAAAAATTCTTTCAACTTAAGTGGTTGGTCTTACTTCATCAAAGTCCTCACATTACATAAGTAACTATACTTGGACTTGGGGGACTATTGTTACGTGTTTGCACACTTGGGCAATCCACTGGGGCCTATAGCCAACTCATGCTGAACCACGTGCATGAATCACGTGGCACTGAAGCCAAGGTGATTCCATAGACGAGGCCCGTAAATCGAGGTCCACAGAAGCCAAGGCCCATGTATACCGAGGCCCATCTATCATTGCCTCTTGAGGAGATTTCGAAGCCCATATGCCGAGACCCTTTGAAGGTGGACGAGGCCCCGTTAGCCGAAGTTCTGTAGCCGAGGTAGCAGCCTCCGAATCACAAAGCAACATCTTCCATAGACGCTTGTCCCGAGAGATCCTCTACACAAAGATCTCACTTGAATGATTGATTGGACGTTTGTCATGAGTGTAATGTTAAGTCTTGTCACTGGTAGAGGCGGCTCTACTAATCAATAAATGTATAGCAGGCTAGATGCGACTGATGCCTACAATTTGACATATAAATTAACCGGATGAGGGCACTCCGAACCAAAGGTCACGATTGAACTTGTAACACTATAAATACTCCCCTATGTACCCCATACAAAGGCTAATGCAAGAATCAATACAAAGAACACCACTTAACTCAACTCTCTCTTATTATCTTGCAACACAAACGAGTTCATACAAATTTGGATACACGTTTACAAAGATCGATTGGTAATTATTGTACAGTCGGTCAACGAACATCCCGCCAGATTCTGAACGTTCTCGTCCCATGTTGTTGAGCTACTTCCACGCCCTCGATCCGTCCATTAAAGACCGTCCACATGTCTAAGCGTGTTAGACCTTCGCTCACGTGTGCGCGGGTTGGTTCAGCATTTGTTGGCAACATTTTTTGGGATCAACACAATACATTAGGGTTAGCACACGGTGTGTGGCAAATTTTCAAACCAAATCCCCTAAAGCAGATTGAAATTTTTTCAAACCAAACCAAATCACTTTTTTTCGATTTAAAATCACAGCTTAGCAAATAAAAAATATATATACGAGGAACAAGTCAAATCATAAATATGAATCTAGAGTATCACACTAAAATATAAATATTAGTATCATTATGAATATTATAAGCGAAAGTTTTACACTTTTAATCATGCCAATGCAATAAAATGATAGAAAATATTTAGTTTTAATCCCTTTGTCGATACTAATTAGCACAAAGTATCCAATTATAACACATGATTCATTCTCTATATAAAGATAAGAATTAAATGGTATAAAGCAAATAATAGAAGAAAATGAATAGACAGATCACGTAAGCTAATACCTTCTATAGCTTTCTCGGAATAATTTAATGCTTTCACCTTATCCAAATATTGACGCATCAGTATAAGTTCCTTGTTACTATGCTGCAACCAAATCTTAATGCAAACCACGACCTTGACCATCTTTGACTCAGCAAACTTCTAAATGAATTAAGAATTTGATTGCTCAAAAGCAATTGTGGATATTTAAATAACTAACACATCTTTGACAATTCGGGTGACAATCTTATCTTTATTTTCATTCAATTTTCACCAAAATAATATGTTAAAATGCTCAATAGTCAAATCTTCATAATGATCATTTAAGTAATCCATCAAATCATCATTCTCAGCATGAGCTTTCCGCATAAGTCTAACTTAGAAAATTGAGGCAATGGATTTGGACCCCAAACCAGTTTATGAACAACTTGAGCTTCCAGGTTGAGTATTATCGTTCAATTTAATTGGAATTGATCTAATATGAACGTCTCTTTTTAGTTGAGATGTGTTTGGTTTTTTTAGGTTGGATAAAATTTAAAATTAATTTGAATTTAGAATTATTTTTGAAGGCGGTTTGACGGTTGGAAATGGTTTTCAAAAATTGAAACCTAAACAAAACAATTTCGAAGTGGTTTGGATCGGTTTAAAATCAAAACATCGATAGATTTGTGGACTCAAACCAATGATTTCAAAAAAATGATTTTGCTTTGATTTGACGATTTGACGATTTTGTTAATCAGTCCCACAATAGATTAGTGTATACCATCTTATTAGTTAAGTTTCACTATAAATAGACTTGTAATTCGGTACATTTTATACCAAAGATATCATTATTTATATTTTTTTCCTCTTCAAATAGATTATTTGTGCATTGAATCATTTCATAATTTTCCTACATCGTTTACTTGTGTGTATTAACCATATTTTATGACAATCACAAGCGTATTGTGTTGAAACTTTTATAAGAAAAAAAAGTACTTATTTTTATTTTGGGAATCGTGTCCTGGTATTAGACGTAAATTTATCTACTTGTACTATGAGAAGCCAAAAAGACCAACCTAATCTTTTATAGGAATACTTAATTTTATATTAATTTTGTTCTAGTATTAGACTTAAATTTCCTTACGAGCAATACTACGTAGCCCTACTGAAATTATAATTCAATTTAGGTGGCATTATTCCAACTTTTATTTAGCCAATAATCTAACATCACCTAAACTGATATTGCAATCCTAATAAGATTAAACAATATTACTCTTTACTTTCTTGTACTCTAGGAAATTGAAAGGACCAACCTATTGAAAGGAGAGATTATTTTGACGAACTAGAAAATAAATTGATATGTCAATTGCCTAAAATATTTACACAAGTTCATATATTCAGGTAAAATGTCCCATTGTCAATTGTACTTTTAATTGTATTTTTCTTTTATCCCCGTATTTTTTCAACATTTTTTATTTTACAGTGACTTGGTGAAATGAAAATTAACATGCCACATGTAATTATTTGTTATTCGCGTCATCAATTTCATCTAATTATCAATGGTTGATGATAGAGGGATAGATTATGCAACAATTTGGTAAATTCAGTGTCTAGTTAAAAACATTTCAAAGTTTAGTGTTCAACAAAAAAAATATTGCGAAAAATATATATGATCAGTGGAACATTTACCCTATCTACTTGGTATCACTCGTCTAAACATAATAAATTAAAATTAAAAAATCTGCAATATCTGAAAGTGGATACGAGTTTTCACATTCTATTCAACATATCAAGATATGCCAAATCCAGAATTTAAATATTTTTTTACAAAAATGAACCACAAATCAAACCGAAATAAAGACGGCAATATATTTTTACTAACATATACTATATACTGCAAAAGGCAATTACCAAAATAAGAATCAAATATTACGCTGATTAATCTTCATCCCGTGACCATTTCCTATTGACGTCAGCATTGTACGCTCCGGAACTGATACTGACGGCGTCACTGCAACAAAATTATATAAAGCTTGCTCGCCGTTAAAATTAACGGCGCCCGGCCCCACTCTGTATCCATATCGTCCAGCTCCATCAGCCACCACTGGTATCCGGTAAACCGCCTTCGCCGCCGCCGCATTCACATTATTAATTTCCCTCTTCACCTCAATTCCGGCACCGGCATCCACCCCAAAATTCTCGGGGAGAACCATACCCGGAATTTGCAGAATATCTAGCGGAGGTCCAATACTTGGCTGATACTCCTTATCAAATCCAAATAAATAATCCGGGTTCAGAGGGGTGTCCGGATCCGAATTTTTGTTACCCGAATTCGCAGAAGGGATTCGAGGACTTGATATATCGAAGATGAAAAGCCTGAGTCGGACAGGTTTGGTTGAAATCGTGAGCATGCGGTCGTACTCCACCATCATATGCTCGACATCCTCATCGTTGATTAAGGAGACCAAGGAGTCAAGATCCTCGCCGGGTAACTGGTACTTTATGCAAACCTCGGAATTGTTATTGATGTTGCAGAGGGAATTTAGTTTGGCTGCCATTTCGGAGAAGTTAATGTTTCGATCGACGGTGAGGATTTTGATGTCGCCGCCGATGTAGGAGAGTTGATGGTCCGTTGGCCTGGGCTGAATCTTTCCTCCATAACTGCACATCAATTTCACTTTATTGCTGTTCATGTTGGATTTCTGCTTCTCCATGCTCTCAGAAGAATCTTAGAAGAGTGGGAAAGCTGAAACTTGACTGTGCTTTCGTAGGTTGAAATTTTGTGGTTGAATTAAACCGATACTACTTATAAAAGGCAAATTACTGTAACATCCCCAAAGTTATCAAAATGGTAAAGATCTCTCCAATAGTTTTAAAAATTACAAAAAATCTCTGCTCTGTGCAAATAGTTGGCCAAGAAAACTTCGTGAATTTGTCCCCTCAAAGAAGACTATAACAAGCACTAAAGTTTTGACTAGAAGTTGGAACAAATTAATATTTTTATAATTTATTAAAAGAATGGTTGCTTCGTCATCCGTTACACATTTACATAGACTTTTATGTCCCTATTTGACAAACATTTTTTTTATATTTTTATTTTTAGTTAGTTAAATTTTGTATTTTGATTATACATTTGAATTTGAATAGATTCACAGCTTTTATTTACTTTTTTAATAACGTGGTTCATAAATTAACATATTTATAATCCTGAAAGACTTTATCAAAATAGAAACTATGTTACACTATACTATTTTATTATAATATTACCCATATCATGAAAAAATTTCCTTTTTTTATTGTGGATGATAGAAATTTACAAATTAGGATTACGAAGAAAGAAACGTAAAATTCATAATGTTCAGATACCTATTTCGAACAATTAAATATACCAATCATGTCACTGTCATTTTATGTCGAAACTTTCAACGTTCAAAAAGTAAAGTATCTCGTAACATTTTATTTAAAAGTTATTGATGGAATATGGGATATCCAAGATCTTGTTCAAAATTTCTTTCGAGGGTCATCTAATTAATTCAATACAGGCCCCCACAAACCTAATCCTTAAATTGAATTCTGTAAATATCCATTCATGGAAAGGAAAATTCTCCATCCCACTCATATTCAAAAATTCTATAGTCCATTCCTCCCACAAAAACTGCCAAGGAAACCAATTAAATTCGAGGGTCCCATCCTGCGCTTAATTTGCTCTCCGCGTGGACCCCTTTCAATCACTTGGAAAAGTAAGGATTCATGTTACAACATTACCTTTCCACATGCACTCGACGTCACTTGAACGAACTCCTTATCTGTTTAGCGGATAATTATATTAACACTGTAAATTTTCTTAACTACGTGACATTTTTAGTTTGATGAAAGTTTCCAATCTTTATTCATTTTCTCACCATTATTTCTAACTTATTTATGTTATATTCTTATTCTTAATTTTTAATTAATTATTACATTTGTGTTAGATAGCAGTTTGTACGGCTGGGCAAATCTCTCAACCGAACCGATGGGACCGAACCCGACGGTTCTTGTTAAATTAAATACCCGAAGGGATATCTGAATTGAGAACCGACGGGTACGGTTCGATTCTCGGTTCTAGACCAAGAACCGAAGAATCGAATAAGAACCGAATCTTTCTGATTTTTTTTATATTGAATAAATCAAATTATTTTAATTTTAATTTTTTCTAAACAAATTAACGATTTCTAAATCCAAATTTTTTGCCCAATAATTTGTTTCATTTCTAATTTTTTAATTTTTGGTCCAATCATCCATTTTATTATGTCATTTCTTAGCCAAACAAGATCAAATCCACTAAATAACCCTAAACACCAACATTAAAGTGCATAACGTTGTCTCGACTCTTACACTCACTTTCGCAGCCTCGCTAATATTCCAAAACCTATACAATCATCGACCGACACTGTAACCTTCGTCAACCGAAACTTTGATCGTAGCGATCATTTGAACAATGTAGTTTACTAGTTTTTGACATTCCAAAGCCATTGAATGTATTATTAGTTGTATTTATATAATGTTGTTATAAATGTTAAAAAATTTAATTATAGTACAGAACCGAATGGAACCGAACGGAACCGAACCCGAACGGTTCCATAATTATATTTGGACCCGATGGTTCCATTTATTAAATAACCGAAAAGTTCGGTTCGGTTATCGACCCGCGCCCACCCCTAGCAGTTTGTCAAAATATTTTGTTTGCATGTTTTTAAATGAGATACAAATTTTTTGTCGAAAATTTATATTTATTTAAAAATATGAGTGATAAATAAATGTCTTGTACATCCTCCAAATAATTTATTTGGATTAAAAATGTCATCATAAACGAGATCTGTTAACTAATGAAAGATTGAAGATAATAATGCAATGAAAAAATTGAAAACATAAACAAAATAATGAATAAAGATTAAGAACCATCGCAACAATTAAAATATAAACTCTTTCACAATTAAACCTCGAGAGTATTTTAACTACGACAATCTCCTCCTTAATATTCTAGAATTACAAACAACCTTAACTATTTGATTTTATGTATCCCTCCTCGATTAAAACATGGAATGTTTCTAATATCTTAAGCCTTGACATTATCCAATACGTGCCCTAAAGGGTAAAAAAAAAAAAAAAAAGTACTGTATATTTTTTACGTGAAATGGAATATTGTTACTATGAGTCGCAATTCAACAAAATTTAGGGAGATTGATATAAATACTATAAACTATGAGGACTAATAGTGAAAAAGAGGTTGGTCAAGTACGTGGCAATGCATGTGGAAAAGCAATGGGCCTAATGCCCCGGGGTTCCTTGGGATAATGTTGTACACTTTTGAGCCATTAAAAAGGGGGTCCACACGGTGAGCAAATTATTCGTGGGGTGGGACCCTCGGATCAAAAGAAATTGATGGGCAATTTTTATTGGAGGATTATGTAAGTCAAGAAAACGGATATTCTCAAATGGGAACGATAGATAAATCCTAAATATAAGAAACACATTTTAAATTTATAAAACTTCATAAAAATCAGGCGATAAATCAATTTATTAAAATTTTAATTATAATATAATATAATTAATCACACCAAATTTCAAATTAAAGTCCTTCATTCTCTCTCTACTATCTATCATTTCCCTACCCTTTCTACCCAACGGAGGCGGCCATCAACTTAGGCGACTACTCCGACGATATCTCAAATGATCGCTCCGACGAATAAACTGACCATCGCTCTGATGACTGCTTTGAGGATCGCTCAGACGATAGAAAAACTCCAAAAGGAAAAAAATTTCACTCTCCATAATTTACTATAGAAAATCTCCAAAAATTCATTTGTGACCAAATTTATTGTTCGTGACTATACCTATGTTTCATGTGACTATTTGTGATCAAATTTATTTTCAATGTGACCGTCTAATTTGTAATAATATGTAACAAATTTACTGATCTATGTTATCTGTGATTAATCTGTAACCAAATTTATCTGTGATGTGACTAACTGTAATCAAATTTATCTTTAATGTAATTAACTATGACCAAATTTGTATTCAATGTGATTGTTTGTGACTAGGTCAATATGTAACTATGATCAGGTCACAATCGTTCACAATCAACAAAAAATTGATCACAAATAGCCACAATAAACACATACTTGATCACAGGGGGTTACCACAAGTAAATCTGCGCACACCTCAGACCAATATCACAATCCACCAACCACCACCACCGGCACCACCAACATCATACCATCATCAGAACCACCACCAATCGCCATCGAACCTTAAAGACCGCCATCAACTACAAATCTTAACCACAAAATTTCACGAGCCAACTTAAAAAATGAAAAAAACAGATTTTAACCATCCCAAATCTAAAAGTGACGAACATGTGGTGTGCATTCTTTTGCAATTTCTCCAAGTACCATTGGACCACCGTCCCAACCAGCCGATCTCCAGATATACAATCCCAAGCACCCATCGTTGAACCACCATTCCTTTAAGCATCCACCATCTCAACCAGCCACACCCTAGTTTTGTTGTTAGACCACTGTCGGTCTATCATATCATTATCATCACACTCATTTTCAGAAATTGGACCGTCCCAAGCATTTTCTGCACACAATATGTAACTGCTCAAGATATCATCTTACCACCTTATGTAGAAATCGTTGATAATACACAACATATAGCTAGCTTGACAGAACCAATTGATTTGCGCGACAACTTTGCTCTCACGTAGCGACGAACCGTTGCGCGCTTCTGCTTCTTCTTGCGATTCTGCTCCACCCTAGAGGGTGAGGTGGGGATGAGCATAGTAATGGTAGTAACTAGAGAGAGAGCAAAGATGAAGAGTGTGTTACAGAGAAAGAGAGAGAGCATAGAGAGAAAGTTACAAAGTGGGGGTTGGATTTGGGATAAAATCAGCGTGGGGTTGGGGGTTATTATCTGGATTAAGGTTTAATTACTTTTTATTTATAATTAATAACCCTATTTGCCACCTGAAGTCTGAAATTTAATCACCTTATTTATGAAAACTAATTTTTAATGTAGGGTTCTAGTTAATTTTTCTCTTCTCAAATTTGAGTTGGATTACGAAGATTTCTATTTTCTAGATTGGGTTTTTATGGAGGAATCTTGCTACTCGTACTGACCCCCTCACAACAGGGGAGCCCACAACTAGGGCTTTATAGGATTCAAGTTACATATTAGCCTTGCCGTGTGGGGCATGTGATGTGTTCTTTTTAATCGAATAGATAAAGCCCCCAATTTTATTCATTTTCTTTTTGAAAAGATTGAGAATTTTCAATGTCCCATCATAATTTGAGAGAATTTTAACGGGGGTTGTTTGGTAGAACTTTTAATAAAAATTGATATAATATATGATTTTAAAATTGATAAAAATTGTGGGTCCAATAAAATGTGAGGTAAAAAAGTTTAAACAGTTGAAAAATTAACGGTAAATACTTTTGACATGTCGACTTGATCAAAAAAATCTATAATAGATTTTACCAGCTATCTACCACGCTTCACTGTATCAAATATATTGTTAGAGTTTTAGCCCTTATTTGGCACCGATTAAAATTCAGATTTTAATTTAAGTCAAAATCAACAGTTAATTCTAACTACATATTTTATGGGTCCCACAACTTTTTAACCACGCATTCCATCAACTTTTATTAAATTTTACTAAAAATCTGATTTTAAT